GTCAATAATTGTTGAATCTAAACAGAGAGTAATTGTTTACTGTACCCTTCATTCAACTTTTCTGAAAGCTTGAAATTTTTAGAATGGAGCAGAGGGTGGTGAGACAAAGCCACTTAAGTCTAACTCCCTAGGTAGGAGACTGTAAGTGAGGACTATGTCTTACTCACTTGTGATCTCCTGGTACCAAGCACAACACTTAACATGTAGTGACCAGCAGACACTTCTAGGAAGAATAATCACTTTTATTTAAAATACAACTAGTATTTATTGAGCCCTTACTATGGGCTGGGCAGTACAAAAGCTTTGCATCGCTGATCTCATCCGATACTTGCATCAGCCCTGAGGTAGGTATTATTCCCATCCCCATATTAGCAATGAGGGAATGTGGGTACTGGAGGTTAAGCAATTTCCCCAGGCCACAGAGCTACTTTCAGTGGCCAGGCAGGCTTTCTAGTCATTAGTCTCCAAAGCCTCCACCTGACCTCTGTGCTCTAGAGCGTGAGTTCTCAGAATTTAATGTACATTACATCTCCCTTGGAGGCTTGTATAAAATGCATGCTCTGGGCCCCTCCCACAGGTCGGGGATGGGACTAAGGAATGTCCATCTGTAAGGGGCACCCCCAGATAACTGATGCCCATAGTACACAGACCACATTTCAGGAAACGTTGCCCAAGGGCAACACAGAATGACAGAGGTCAGGTTCCAGAAGGGCCATCAGAGTTTCTTTTGGTGGAGCGGTCAGTAAAATGTGACTGGTTGTGGACAGAATACATTTATTTTAAATAAAACATAATCTTCACCACAAACACAAACCACTAAGGACAGGTGAGACTGTTTTACTTCTGTCCCATCATAATGGACAAGGGTAATGAAACAAATTGGTGTCTGAACACCTCAACCCGAAGCTCAAGAGCTTTGTGAATATTCTGATCACTTGTAAGTTGATATCATAACAACATTGGATTCCAAGAGAAATACATTTTAGTGTTAATATTTTTTTTTCTTTAAAAAGCAAGATTCCCTTCATTTCAGGGTTACATTTGAGGCCAAAATAGTTATCAGAAACATGTATATTTTCTAATTTATGAATTAATCTCCCAGAAAAGAATAAACTTAGACCTTATAAAGAATGCTATATAGCTAAGACCTTTGTAAGCCAAACACCTTAACAGAAGTTCAATGATTGTTCAACTTTGTTCAAAGACCTTGTATTTATCAGTTTAAAAAGTCATGTTTTATTGGCTTGTACATTATGCATATTTAATCCTTATAGTAAAAGCAGTTCTGAATCAATGTCTAACCTCTAATATACTATAAAATTCAAAATAAATACTAAAGTCAATACTATCAATTTATCCACCAAATACACACTTTTTTTCGAAGGTTCTATTAGACTCCGATAGAACTTCTTGATGAGAAATTTATATTTATTGAATGCAAAATAACATCTTCCTGTGACTTTCTCAGCACAATGAGACTATAAAAGTGTCCTTTATACATGACTACTGACTCACTTTGCAAACATTTTAGAATGATTATTCTAGTGTAATCAAAATTTTTTTCATGTCCTGATCCATCCACAGTCTGTTATGATATTACTCTCAGAGTTAGTTGCAAAAAGTTTTAAGATTTCTCTCTAGGAAAACAGGCAGCCAATAGCCAAAGACCAAAGCGTACTAAAATATGGAGGCCTCTGTCTGATGTTACCAGACCCGGGCAATAAATACTGTAAGTTTATTCATATGTTAAATCCAATTAGTCATTCACTATATGCAAATGACTGTTTAATTATGAAACAAACAATTTCCCTTAAATAGGTTTGCTAAAAGACTACGAAAACTGGGAACACTGCCTGTCTACTGGCCATGACCAAAAAGTAACATCTCAATGATATTTAAATATTTATATTACATATAGATACATATATTCACATTCCTCTGTATTCTCAACCCTCCGTGCTACTAAATACAAAACTGTGACTGTAACTCCTCTTGGTGTTCTTTTACAAAGGATAACATCCATTACATCACCCAATAACCAGGGTCCCAGTACACTTCTTAATACAATAAATATCTTAAGCATCAAATTCTTTTAATTCTAGAAGGGTCAGCTTTCTTATTCTTATTAGCTAATAAGTAGCACATTTTCTGCTTATTTTGTCTGAGAAAGACATCCGTGGCAGAATGGAAATCTGCAATGTGCCCCTCACTCTGCAACTAGAGTTTGCCACTGTAACTGAGAGCAGTGTGAAGACCGAGTCAGGAGCTCAAGGAAGCTGAAACACACAGCAAGTCCCTCTGATACAAAAATTCCAAAATGACTTCTCTGGGGTTATTTCGGAAGGGGTCGGAGAGTGAACGAAGCTCAGATTGGCCCCTATCTGTGTACAGCAGACCCCTGCCAGGCTGTCTGCTCTGCCTTCCCAGAAAGGACTCTTCTTAGCTCTTCTGCTATTTTGTCCCTGCACTCTAGGGACAGAAGAGGACAACAGAGTCTGATTAGGCTAATAAAATGCTAGGAATTTAGAACCGACTAAAATTGTTGTCTCTATCTGGATGAGTCCCTGCAGGAGAGTGAAACTACTCAGGAGTTGTACAGCAGCCACTCTTCCCATACACACCTGGGAGCACACAGCCACTCTGTGGGTGGAGGGCAAAGCAGGTGCAGAGATGAGCTGAGAGAGAAGAGTCCCTGAGTTCCTAGCAGTCTTCCACTTTCTTGTTCCATGCTATTTATGAGGCCTGGCTCCATTCTCTAGCTTCTCAATGAGACACACCTATCTCCTTACAACAAATTCATTCATTCAAGAGTCTGTCTCTTGAAGCCAGAGAGTCCAAATTAATACAATAGGTAAACAGGGTACTAACCAACTCTGATTTTTGGTTTCATTAAAAACTGCTAAAAAACCAAATATTACTTTGTATTGAAAATTAATCAAAAGTTATTCCACTGACCATATGAAAGGAACCTTATTACTATAAGAGTGAAAGCCAAACCCAGAATTCACAGTTTAGGTAGAAATACTAGGAAGGAAGCCAATTAAGAAAGAGAAAACTGGAAACTGATGATAATAATATAGCAATAATAATAAACATGCAATATTTATTGAGTACTTACTATGGTGCCAGGCACTGTTCTAAGTTCTTTAGATATATTAACTCACTTAATCCTCAAAATGAGCACCTACTCCATAATGTAGGAACTAATATTATCCTATTTTTTCAGATGAGAAACCTGAGTCATAGAGAAATTAAATAGCCTGCCCAAAGTTACTAAGTGTCTAATTCAGAAGCCCACAATTTTAGTCTCTCTCACTTCTCTCTTATAATGCAAAGGAACAGGGGTCAGAGAGCCCAAAGAAAGTTAGCAAGGCCTTTTAGCCTAGATAATTGAAATTTAGTAAAAATACCAATAATCCAGCAATCCAATGTCTGACTTCAATCAAAAAATATAAATAAACCATTTGAACGAGGAATTAGTGTAGTTCTAAAGGATAACAGCTACTCTTGAATGTATTTGTTTAGTATCCATTTATAAAGTAAATTACTAATGAAAGCCTCGTTTCTTTTTATTTGTGTTTGCTTTTAGGAGAGTAAGATAACTGGATAAACTCTGACAGCTATAAATGACAACTAGTTGAGGGGAAAGACTGAACTATCAGAAGCAGAACTAAGAACTCAAGTAGTACAATTTTTGTAGACTTCAAATAGCTTCACATAATCCCACAGTAGAAAAAGCATCTGTGTGTTACCGTACAGAATAACTAAAACTCAAAATGCCATACTCTGTCCAAAGGCAGGTAAGCATTTGATTCAAAGCTGGATAATAAGAAAGAACACCAGTGCTTAAAGGTATGGCTGATACTCCAAAACCACTGAGTAAATACTACGGAATTCATAACTTTTCCTTTTTAGTCCTAACGATTTTAATTCATCAGCAATATCACACAAATTATTTTTATAACTCTCATGCCTCCATTTGTGAAACACGTGGTTCCTCCTTTATCTTGTCTTTTTATAGTTACACTTCATCTTTTTACATAACGTATACGTACATTATATAAATAATAGTTGCCTTTCAATTTTTCTTGAAGGCATAAAAAGGCGCAAGTTTTTCTAAATTGTTGCTGTTTAATTGCCATTCATAGCAAGAATCTTCATGCTTGAAAATTTGCTACAATCACACTTTAAACTTTCACCAGTAAGTCACAAAGACATAAAACTGAATATTCAAGGAATGCTGTTACTACTTCTAGGCTGCTGCCCCGCTGTCTTTCACCGTATTTTACCCTCGGCAGGCCTGCGCTATCACAGCCGTCCTTTTCCACACAATGCTTCCTTCCACCAACCACCAGGGGAAAAGGGAAGCAGGGGAGTAAACTAACCCATTCTTCAGTCAATTTGTGTTTTGATGCTGGAATAGAAAATAGGATTCAATAAGCAGGCATGATTCTCCCTTATGATCTCATGAGATATTAAAATTTTCAGTTCATATCACCGTATCTTATTTTCCCTTAGGAAAGATCCTGGCTGATGTGTTTGTTGTGGTATCAGCCAAAATAAGTTACTCTTCAGTTGATTTAAACTAACATTTGGAATATTAGCATTTATAGACACCAAATATATCACAAGAGACATTAAGGTGATTTATAATTTCTTTAACCTTTACTCAACCACTAAGGATTAGGTAGATAATAAAATCCTTAATTTGAAAATCTTTTTACAAAAGCACCCAGAAATAGTTCAAGTTATATATCATTGTATATCATGCTAAAAATGTTAAATACTTATGGAAGTAAAATTTGTCCATGAAAATCCTACTTTATTTCCTAATCTTTCTGAAAATGCCATATAATTTTTCCTAAATTGTTAATTGATACATATTAAAATTAATATGTAATTGAGCATTATATCTGACCTAGGAATTTAAATAGTTAATTCCTCTACAAAACAAGAGAGTGGTAGAATTTAAATAATAACAAGAAACTTGTCCACTTAACCAGTTTCTCTATTTCTGATTCAAGGTTCTGTATGCAGTCAAGTTTTCTCTTGCGACAGCGCTGTGCAGCAATTCTGTTTTTACTTCTTCTTCGAATATCATGGATACAATCCAGTTGTTCTGGAGTCAGCTTGTGCATTTTCAACAAGGACTGAAAATCGTTTCGAGAGAGTGAAATTATCCGTTGTGCATTGAATGGCAGTTTTACCTAGAATGTAAAATAAACATTAGTAATTATTGCTGTAATTATACTTTTGTAATTATACCTTAAATCTAAGAAGATGAAGATGTATGTCTAAGCTTTTCACAGAACTTTAGATTAAAAAAAGGCCTCTATTCCCAATTTCTATACAATCCATTATAATAAAAACTGATAATATACTTAGTATTTCTGGTCTATTTCAGAAGATAATTAAGCAGATATTTTTCAGCAAATCAAACATATTAACACAAGCATTAACATATTTAAAATGGAAAGACAGAATTTAAGTTATTTTAGTATTAAATGTTAATACCCCACAGATGTTTTTACAACCTAAAAGTAAAATCTATTTTATTCTTTGAATATTACTATGCAGCACTGATTTAATACTGGTATAATTATGCTAGTAATTTCTAAAGCATTTCAGAAAATTTTTCTGTCAAGAAAATGGTAGCCTCACATAACTCATTTTAAAAGCTATACATTTCACTTGCCAATGCAGAAAAGGTTAGAAAAGTCTTATGAATATTTTAAAGACATTTTCAACACATTTACATTTGGAGAGAGGAGAAGATAACTTTTTAAAAAATAATAAAATTGTGGAAGTTTCATTATATTAATTATCAAAAATGCAAAGGAAACATTGCTCAGTCTGGCAACCTACTTAGCTTGCCTTTCAAGTTTACAGGAATTACACAAAATGTTTTAAATTGAAAAATGTTCTATTTTTAACATTCTTTTCATAGTAATTCCAAATGCTACATTTATAAATGTCATAAAAATGTATAGCTATAACCACATATACATATTAGTTCTTAAATTAAATCGCCAATCCACCTCCTTCAAACCTATGTCATCTAACAGATACAAAACCAAAGAATGCTAAAGAATAGGTTGTGGAGAAACTGGAATCTTTGCATACTGTTGGTGGGAAAATGGTATAGCTGCTATGAAAAACGGTATGGAAGTTCCTCAAAAAATTAAAAATGTAACCACTGTATGATCCAGCAATCTCACTCCTATTTATCCAAAAAAATTGAAATCAGGATCTCAAAGGGATATCTGCACTCCTAGATTCGCTGCAGCACTATTCATAAAAGCCAAAATATAGAAACAATCTAATGTCCCTGAGATGGATGAATGGATAAAGAAATTGTGGTGGATGTATAAACAAATACTATTCAGCCTTATAAAAAGGAGGAAATCCTGCCATTTGCTACAATATAGATGAACTTGAATGGCATTATCCTAAGCAAAATAAGCCAAACGCAGGTGAGTAAATCCTACATGGTCCCACTTACACGAAGTATCTAAAATAGTCAAACTCATAGAAACAGGGAGTAGAAAAGTAGTTGCCAGGGGCTGGGCAGAGGGGAAAATGCGGAATTGCTATCCAATGGGTAAAGTTTTAGTTACACAAGATGAGTAAACTCTAAAGATCTGCTGTACAACATTGTGCCTATATTTTACAACACTGTATTGTACACTTACAAGTTTGTTATGAGGGTAGATCTCATATTAAGTGTTGTTATACAATATAAAATAAATCCTAAGAAAAGGCAAAAATGCAATGGGTAAAATAGGAAAGTAATTTATAAAAAAGAAAGTGTAAACTGTAACTCTAAAAATTCAACCCCTGAAAAGTAAACAAAATCATATTAAGAAAAAAATTGTTTTAAATAGTATTTTTTAAAATAACAGAACCCTATTATTACTGGATTTATAGTAATATTCTACAAACAGCAGCTATCAAATATAAACTTTTATACACGGAGTACACAGATCAAGCCTGGTATGATTAATATATTAATCATGATGATTAATATGTTACATGATATGATTAATATCATACCAGCTACACGTAACTCATGCTAAATTATTAAAACATTCATTAAACTAACATCTGAAATGGCTAAGGGGGGGGGGAATTAATGACCATGAAAAACCTAGGTCCAAAAAATTTCATTAGAAGCTACATTCCTACAACTAGTCACTGCTAAACCACTGCTCAGTGACTAGTTCCAGGTCTAGAGATCCTTGTGGCAATGAACTGAATATGTGCTGCATTTTTCCAGGAGTTATCATGTAATGACCACAGAATCATTATTCTTTTTTCTCCTGGGACATGGCATTTGATTTAAACAGTGAAATGGCCCACGTGAGAACACAGCCAATGTGTGAACCTACTCCATGGTTAATATAAATATGCCTACTTAAAATACATGAACACACAAAGTGCTTCAAATTTCATCTCTCTCTTTTGGTATTTATCACACACTCTTGTAATTAACTGCATATGAGTTTCCTCCTCCCTCCCTGGGCCTGCTCATAGCCCTAGTGATACAAAGAGAGCTGACCCAAAGTAAATCCCAATTAGTGGCTGTTAAAACAATAAATTAAGAACATACTCCTGCTCACCTCACATTCTTGTTCTCTGGCTGAACAGGACTCGCTGTCTCCCTCTGTGTCCGTCTCAGAGTCATCTCCCAAGCTAATTACACAAGCATACGGACAAGGTTCCTGCGGGGGTCCTGAAACATAATCATCGTTTCCAATCTCCAAACTGCCTGAACAGCCTTCGGTACTCAGAGTACTTATAAAAGGGCAGTTGACAGAACTCAACGTTGTAAAAGTCCTCTGACCTGGCTCTGGGCTCTCACTGATCCTGATCCCTAACCAGGGACACTCTGACCGTTTCTGTGAGTAGATCTGTTCTGAGCCATCTTTGGCCACAGCAGGTGACAACTGTGTTTGGCAAGGAGACTCCGTGCTGCAAATGTCACTCCAGAAGCCTTTTGCGAGGTGTTCTGCCACTTCGCGTTCCACACTACTCCGATCGCTCGAGGCAAGGCTACTGTCTTCCCTGGGGCCCGAGTCAGATTTCAGATGTAAACCTTGACTGTCACCAAACGTTTTATCTTCTTGAACATCTGTGCCTGACAAAGGCTTTTCTGTCAACACTGTTGTGTTTTGCATACCAGTAAAGTCACCATATTGGTCATATGTGTGTAAAAGAGACAGAGAATACAGTCCATGAGGGTCTGTGGAAGAACTGTAGGGGAAAGGAGTCACTTCTGGTTTTTCAGTTGGGCAGTGAGAAGCAGGATCTTTCTTCTTTGTTTCTTCAGGTTCCATTGCCAATTTACTTTCTTCGCATTTTAAAACCACCTGCAAATCTGCACACTCCTGGGCCCCTTCCAGGCATTCACTTTCAGATGTCTCATTTGGCTGCACAGAAGCATGAGCATCTTTGACAGTGGATTCCACAGTGCGGACTCTGTCAGTTCCAAATGCTTTCTGGAATTTTCTGTATTTGGGGCATAAAGATGGCAAAGCTAGAGCAGCGTCCTTTTCTAAGCACATGGATTCATATGTTTGACTGGCACTGTCTTGTAGAGGAGGCGATGCTTTTGCATTTCCTTGAGACCTGCGTAGTTTACACTGAGGAGTCTGAACATTTTTGTTTTCCAGAAATTCCTCCACTTCATCAATTTCTAGATCCCTCTGGTCCAAAAGTGAAAATTTAAGGTCTGTTTTCTGACAGTGTGACGGAAAGCATTTTTTTCTTGGGCATTCTGGCTGGTCTGCAGTGGAGTCCAAAAACTTAAATTTGAGAAACTGAAAGCAGGATTCCTCAATATTATGCACACTTAAAAATTCCACACACTTGCACACTTCATCCACATTGTCTTTACTTAAAATCAGTTTAGCAGTGTAGGCAAACTGAATTAAAGGTTCAAATCCTTTAACTGTCACCTGTTAATATACAAAATAAAAACAAACACATCATTTGAAAGCCGTCTAGTAGGTAAAAAGAAGAGAAGTAAAGGGGAATAGAGAGATGTATAACTTACTTGTGATAATTATAAAATACATGTTTTAATTTGATAAGAAAAAATGTTCTCCTAGGCAACATAAAACTAAGGGAGCCTGGAAAAGCATGCTCATCACACCGTGTTTACTGGAAACCCTCCACTTTATAGATTCCACTCTCAATTGCACATGAATTATGGTTTACTCACATGAAGTAAAGACATAGGACATTACCACAATGTTCCCATGTTAGCAGAAACAAACCATCTATGAAATACAGCAGGATGGTCACAACTTGCTACACACATAGTAAGCTACCAGGTGTTTGTTACTAGTCCAGCCCAATAACTCCAACTGCTACAAAGTATGAAAGAATTTTTAAGGATAAAAAATAATACACATAAAGCACTTACAAGGAAGTCCTGACCCATGGTAAATGCACAGTAAATGGTAACTATTATCTTTAGCTCATGCCAAAGATTTCCAATAATAAAATATTAAGATTCAGGTTTTAAAAAGCAATCTAAGTGAAGTTTTAAAAATCATTCCTCATTACTACTCAGTAAAAATTCATGGACTCTAGGTAACAAAATCTTTAAGCAGAAACGCCCATTTACATTAAACCTGCTTCTGCAAACTGAGGGGCAAATGGAAACTGCTTGAAGTACAGAGAAAGCCTTACACTAGGTTAAAAACACAAAACGAATTTTAATTCACTGAATTCCTATAAGAATGATCAAGATATCATTGATATTTGTGACATTAAAAACATGTTCAGCCAAGGCGGGAGGATCGCTTGAAGTCAGGAGTTCAAGACCAGCCTGAGCAAGAGGGAGACCCCATCTCTACTAAAAATAGAAAAAAATTAGACGGGTGTGGTGGTGTGTGCCTGTAGTCCCGGCTACTTTTGAAGCTGAGGTAGAAGGACCTCTTAAGCCCAGGAGTTTGAGGTTGCTGTGAGCTAGGCTGACGCCATAGCACTTTAGCCCAGGGAACAGAGCGAGACTCTGTCTCAAAAAAAAAAAAAAAAAAAAAACCATGCTCAGCTATGAGTATTTAACTAACTTTTAAATGGTTAAAATAAAAAATAGTGACACCACCAAACGCTGGTGAGAACAAAGAGAAGTTGGATCACTCACACATTGGCAGCAAGAACATAAAAGCAATTGCGCTCCCTGGTCTTTTAACCCAGAAAAATAAAAACTCATTCACACAAAAACCTGCATACAAATGTTCACAGCAACTTTATTTGTAATAGCCCAAAACCAGAGTCAGCCTGATTTCCTTCAATAGGTGAAAGTTTAAAAAAAAAAAAAACTGGTAATATGAAATATACTCAGCAATAAAAAGAAACTATTGATATGCACAACTTGGAAAATCTCAGGAAAGTGGAAAAAAGTCAATCCCAAAAGGTCACATACTGTGTGATTCCATTTAAATAACATTTTTGGAAATGACAAAACTTTACAAGAGGAGGACAGATCAGTGGTCGCCAGAGGTTAGGGACAGAAGAGGGTAAGGCGATAGGGATGGAGGATGGCAAGGAGGAAGGTGTGGTTATAAAACACCACCACAAGGGATCTTTCCATGTTAGAACTGTTCAGTAGCTTAACTGGTGGTAGACACACAAACCTTCACAGGGGATAAAACTGTATAGAACTTACACACACGGAAATTAGTACAAGTAAAATTGGGGCAATCTGAATACTGTGGGTGGACTGTATCAACTTCAATACCCTGTTTGTAATACTATATTGTCATTTTGCAAAATGTTACTATTGGGGGACACTGGCAAAGTGTAAAAGGGAATTCTCCACGTTATTTCTTATAGCTGTCCGTGAATTTACAACTATCTCAATAAAATTTTCAAATAAAAAATTTTTAAAGTAAGTTAAAATGTCCTAAAAAGGCCTTTAACACAGTAAGTTACACAATATTTTCAATTAATCACTATGATAAAACACTTCAAATATTTGAAAACTGATGATTTACAATTCAAATTAGAATGAATAACTAGATACATGCATGCACACACCTTTCCTCCCAAACCCATGACTCAAACTTTGCTTTACTTGGAAAGTCTCATGAAATCATTTGAAAATATGACCCCTAATAAGCATATCTCCATTATGATACGTTATTTCTTTCTTTTTTAAAATAATCACTACTCTATAGGTTGGCCCTTTTTTTTTTTTTTTTTTTTTTGCCATTTTCTTGATACTGAACCATTCACTCTGACATCTGTCATGGAAAAGACAATCTATCTGTTCCCAAAACTGTGCCTACAATTTCATAGAAGTATGCATAGCCAGCAACAAGCTAAACTGTAGGCACAGTTTATTGAGTTGTATCCAACAGGGCACATCCTACATCTACCTGTGGACCTGTCGTACCCAAAGAAGTTCTAAATATTTCATATTCCTCTTAACAACTTCTATTTGTGTCCCAATACCAAAGGCTTGACACTCTTAGTTTTAGTAAGAGTTAGTGTAACCATCATGCATCTGCCCAAGAGAGAAGTCTCTCAGAGGTAGGACATTAACAAAGACACCAACATTTATGAACATGCCAGGGGAAAATAGTATGTAAAACTAAAGTTCTATAAATATGACACAAAACCATTTCTTTTTTCTATAATACATAAAGACAATCTCAAAAAAAGAAGAATGGGGAGAAAAAAAGAACACTTACAGAGCATCTACTTTTCATGGGGGAATGTACGTTTTATAGAACCCTAAAACTAGTTATAGTTGGGGATGACAGGAAAAGGTTCACAGGGAGAGAATGTCTCACATGGCCTCTCCAAGCTGTGACCTTTCCAAATGTCTATAATCCACTGTGTGTGCCCTCATTTGGTCATTTTATCAAAAATAACATAAGTGGGTCAAGTTATTCAACTGCTCAATAAATATTTTTAACTAACACCCAAAATTAATGATTTTATAAGGAAATGGGTTGCTACAGAACCTGTAAAATACTCCTCAGCCACCTGTCAAGGATACTGTAGTTTTAACTTCATAAACCGTAAGAAACTTAGTTAAGTAAAATTAAATTAAAATCACCAGAAACACCGCCCTCTTACCTCTTCTGGTAGAGTAATGTTAAGCTCCACATCAGCCTGGCCTACGATTCTCGAGTGGAAGTAGCTGCTGCATGCCGCCAGCACGGACCGGTGGGCGCGGAATCGCTGGCCCTCCACGAAGACAGTGACGTCGCACAGCACGTTTTTCTTCCTCTGGTCATTGAGGCTGAGCAAGACGTTGGTGCTGTGCACAGAAGACTCATAGGCAAAAACTGAGTTCTCACTCAGCGACATTCTGCATAACAAATGGTATCCAAGGAAGTTCAGCGGAAAGCATGCTTCTAATTGTCATCAACCTGCAAAGACACATGCAATATTTCACTTAAATAAATTTTTGCTTTAAAATGTTTTAAAAAATGCCAAATTGGGAAATATAAATTAAAATACATACTCATCGCTGAAATAAAAATGAAAATAAAATCTTCCAGAGGAACAACCTAGAAGCATTTATTCACTATACTTCATTTAAATAGGTTCTGGACAGCAGTTTTTCTAACTAATTCTGGGGAAAGTTTCCTGGTGTGAGGGAGAGAAGAACTTTCTGAACCAAGTATTTCACGGCTCTCTGAAAGTGAGACACTTCACACTGAGAAAACACTATGAGCAAACAGATGAGGCCAGGAAATTTCTGGGTGGCATCCCAACCCTGTTGCTTTAAGACAGTGTGGGAGGAGGAGAGGAAGTCCCCAGAGGTACCACTTTGGGATGAGACTGAACAGGAGAACAGGCATGTGGCATTCCACATTCTCCTTGCCCCATTCCCCAACATCTGACAGACAGTGGGTGGGTTTAGCGCTTTACAATAAAGGATGCCATTCTATAAAAGGTAAAGTTCCTCCAACACAAAGAAGAAAATGACTCAAATTTGTCAGTCCAGATCTTGGTAATGAGTCTTTTTATACATTAAGTTTTACTTTATGACACAAATATAGGCAACAAGTAAAACTATAATACTTCCTCCTTAAGAGCATAGTTTAACATACGTAGAAACATTTGGTTTTCCCAAAGTGCTAAAACATAAGAGAAAGTTATTAAAAATTCATATTTTTTAAATACATATTAACATGCCTCCAAACATTTTTTTGATCACATACACACTACTGGCAAAAAACGGGGGGGCACCCCCAATACATGTATGCTTATCTGTTTTCTTCATACATGTACTACTATTCTGATATATATGTTCTGAAACACAGAGAAGTTGAAAGAGGTTAAAAGAGTTGTTCTAATATTTTCTTTCGGGCCCCCAACGCCTGTGGTGAGCACCCCGGGTGTGTGGATCCCACTGTGGCGATCACACGGACGGAGGACGATAAGCTCCTCAGGGCATCATCCCTGAACCATTTACTTCGGCTCTTCTGACGCCTTACTCACTGCCTGAAACATGGGAGGCCCTCAAATGGTCAGTGAATGAGTAAATGTTACTGTTTTCAGATCCACTACCCTCCAGAAAAAAATGAAAGGAGAAACAAGGACTACTAAAGTTCAGACACACCACGCCCAAATCACCGGTGAATTCCACCTCAAAGATAGGCTTAGTTTCAAACACATGAAATGCATCTAAAAATCCTCTGCTTCTTAGTGTTTATTTTTAAAGTCCTCAATATAACTGAAATGTTAAAAAACAGTCGATGAAAATAAAATCTCTCATCATGTGGCCAAAATTTACCTAAGGTTAAGCATCACAATTTGTTATTTACTGATTAAGCATACCACAGGAAATCACTGGTGACTTCAAAATTAAAACTACAACTAATTCAACTTTTGGGCTGTGCCCATATAAAAGAGCAGTAAATTCCTTTTAGCAATTGGTATTAATATTTTAGTTATCAACACAAGGAATTAGTGTTAGGGATAATAGGGGAAACTATCATTCAAAGAAAATTACATATCTTCTGTAGATAGTACCACACTGCCATCTTCTTTCTCCAAGACCGTACACCCTGTCCAAAGCACAGTGGCCTCCCTAGCCAAGCCAGACTTCACCACTGACCACCTGCCCTCCTGTGTCCCTGAGCCCAAGATCCCAGTCTCCTTATTCCTTCCTGGCATCTGGCTGGCAAACCCTTAAAACTATACTACTCTCACTTTTACATCTCTCATCATTCTGCTGAACACAGCACACCAGGAAAAAACAAACAAAAAAAAAAACTATGAAAACATGCAGACTGGTATAACTATAAACTTATGGTGTACAATCTCAGGATCTCAGCACTGTTCATCAATTTTTTCGTATGTCCCTGTCTCCTGTTTTCCACAATTGTTTTCCAGCTTGCCACCTTTCTCCTCAATCAGCATCTCTCCCAGTAGACCACAAAAACTAGAACCCAACCTCAAAAAAAGTCCCTCCTCCCACCTCCACCAGGTTCTCGCTTCTGTTGAGAACAATCCATAATGCCTTCTCTTGATCCCATATCGTCCTTGCTTCTCTGGGATCCAAGACCTTCTCTTACCACCCTCTCTCATATGTACCCAGCCTCTCCCACTAGGCTGGCTCCTTTCCATAGTTTTTGCTCATAAATGTGTTTGAGTCTCTCCAGAGACTATCCTTAAAAACAAACAAACAAACAACAAAAAAAACCCACTAACAGTAAGTATTTATTAAGCTCTAATTTTGCACGAGCTAAGTGCTAGATAACAGTTTATCTCACCTACTCCTCACAACCACCCTGGGATACTCTTCTATCATCCCAATTTTACAGATGAGGAAACCAAGGTTCAATGAGAAGTATCTTGGCCAACAACAAAAGACCAAAAAGACAAAGGGGAATGCCTATCGAGTATTTTTAACTACTCCATCATTCTGTCTCCAGTTAGTGTTAGCTGAGTGCACAGTATCGAGACCCACTATAGTAATGTGGGGAGCTGGCTATTACTAAAAGGTTATGCTTAAGAATGAGGAAATGAACCTCACAGAAAGCCAGAAACAAAAGAATTGGACCTGAGCTTGAGAAAGAGAAGTACTCTGGGCCTTGGACACTGGGACTCAAAGATTCTTCGGATCCCAAGGTGACTCCAGTATAAACAATTCCCATACCTTCACTCCAGAGCTGCTGGTAGCCCACCTACATGTGTTTGTGACTTGCTGCTTCTCATCCTGCTACCAGGTGACTCACTACTCTACTCACCTTCAATTCCAAAGAGAGCCTTTATTCTTGGCTCAACATCCACTTACGCAGTTTTTAGTAACAGATCACCTCACGGGTTCACAGCCAGCTTACAGATTTGCTGCTCTTGGGCAAGATGCCAATCCCAAGTCCTATGAGCTGCAGGTGGGAGAAACTAGAAAATCAGGTGGTAAAACAGCCACCAAGGAGAGCCCGTCTCGAGTGGACTGAGCGAGGCGTGCACCATGATCGATGCTATCTGGGGCTCCTACGTTCAATCTCTCACTGAGTCCTGCTGCCTCTGCCTCTTAATGCTGAGGACCTTTTCTCTCCATATGCACTGGCACAATTCTAGCCCAAGCCATTATCAGCTCCTGCCTGGACAAATGCCATTTAGCCTTTTGCAATGGCTCACACGCTCACAAATGTATAAATATAGTTACATAAAATAAAAAGTGAAATCAAGTTTCACTTATGAATATTTTACAAGAGTACTTTGCATGTAATAAAGATATTTACCACTCTATTTAAATTTAAAAAGAATACCAGTTGTGATCCATTTAATTTCAAGTCCCACTAATGGCCCATCACCTCATGCATTAAAAACTAAGGGCCCAGTGGCTAACAGCTAGGGATTTACGATCTTACACTGTCTGGGTTCAAATCCCAGCTGCCACTTACTAGCTCTATGACCCTGGCCAAGTTGCTTAACCTTGCTGTATCTCACTTCCCTCATCTATAAAATAGGGATAACATCACCTCACTTGGATGTTGTGGAGTTTACATGAGATTAAGAGGGAAAAGGGTTTAGTACGGTGCTTGGCCTATAGCAAATAATAAACATTAGCTATTAATGATAACAATATTAACGAAAGCCTTATGCCCCTCAAGCCCCCTTGATTCCCTCCAATTTATTCTCTCCACATCAAAGGGATTCCTCCCTTACTGAAAACCTGTGATATCTTCCAAATTACTTATGATCACTTCAAAATCCTTAACATGTCCTCAAGACCTGTGTGGTCAGGTTTTCTACCTATTAACCCAGGCTTACCTCAAGCTGCTGTCTCCCTCCCTTCCTGCTTCCAAGGCACCACACTCCTATGATCTCAGAACCTTTGCATATCCTGTGCCCAACACCTAGACATCTACTTTTCAACTGGGTAACACCTCACCTTTTAGTTCTCAACTTAAATATCACAACCTTGCCTCTGCCATATCCCAAGCATAAAATAATAGAGCTGCAGTCCCCAACACTCGGTTCGTGGCCTTGTTAGGAATCTGGCCGCCACTACCACCTGAGCCCCCCAACATTCCCCTCCACACCCCGCCCCCCCAGTCTGTGGAAAAACTGTCTTTCATGAAGATTAGGAACCAGGCCACACAGCAGGAGGTGTGCAGCAGATGAGCGGAGCTTCATGTGTATTTACAACCGCACCCTATCACTGGCATCACTTCCTGAGCTCCACCTACCCGCCACCCACCCCCCTGCGGAAAAACTGTCTTCCATGAAACAGGTCCCTGATGCCAAAAAGGTTGGGGACCACTGTAGAATATCTGGTCCAATACAGGTACTTGCTGCTGAATGAACTTGTCATTTTTAATACAATTCCAAAACCCCAAGATCAGCTAAATCTTCTTCCACACACAGCCCATTCAGCTATTCCAATATATACGAAACGACATCATGGAGCCAAGCACTCAGAGAAAAGTTCTTAAATAGCTTTTCCAGAGCTACTACGGGCAAAAGGGAGCTCCAACTCATCCATCTGGGAGCTAGAAACATACCTGTGAGACAACTGGCCAAAGAAAAGTTAATGGTTGGTTGGGAACTATAAACACTGCCCAAACAACCAACTTTTGGGAATGAAGATGCATCGACCATGGCTCTCATTAGCATGGGGCACTACAGATGGTGTTCTTTTCAGTTTCCTAATTCTAATTCCTAAGTGGTCAGAATCCATTTTTGCCCAGTAACTTGACTATGCAACAACACCAGGTAAGAATGGCACACATCCTTCTACTGTCCATCAGGCACCTTCTAACT